GTGCCTTTCCTCCCGCTCCCCTCCTGCCCTTGGCTTTGTGTCACTGATGGAACCCCCCAATGGGCTGTGTGGCTCTGTTTGGTGCGGGCACAACCTCCCTGGTGTGGATGCTGGCACGGGGTCTCCCCACTGCAAAGGTTGGCTGCAACCTTGAAGGGGCACAAGAGGCTTGTAGCAGGCTCCAGGCAGGACATGAGGAGAGGCAGTGAAGGGGGGACATGGGTGTGAGGTGCACCTCATTGGGGGTGCTCCAGAGGAAAGCCCTGAGCATGTGTGGGTCCTCCAGTCTGATGAGGCAGGAGGGTTCCAGTGTACTGGGTGGAAGTGGATGCAGCAGATAGAGCAAGTCTTTGCCCTGCTGCTCCTTGGAGAAGCCTTGATGCTGCTTTGCAGCCTCATTAGAGAGCAGCAAAGCTACTGAAAGGACAAGAGAGAGAAACTTGTGTCTTCCTTTTGTGTATGGGCAGGAGGAGCTGGAGCATGGACCTAGGAAGTGCCAGGATTGGGCCCTGTGGATTAACAGGTCAGTACTGGAGCTGTGCTCTCCAGAAAGAATCCCAGCAGTTTCCTTTCCTGGAAAGCAAATAAAACCTGAATGTGAACACTGGGGGGGGAATGGGCGATGGAATTAATGCAGAGCAGTATTTCAAACCCGGTTGTGTTGTGTAGCACATTTTAACCTCTCCTTTAGAATCATAGAATCACAGAATAGCCAGGGTTGGAAAGGACCTTAAGATCATCCAGTTCTACCCCCCTGCCATGGACAGGAACACCTCGCTCTAAACCATCTCACCCAAGGCCTCGTCCAACCTGGCCTTGAACACTGCCAGGGATGGAGCATTCACAACCTCCCTGGGCAACCCATTCCAGTGCCTCACCACCCTAACAGGAAAGAATTTCCTCCTTATATCCAATCTAAACTTCCCCTGTTTAAGTTTTAACCCATTACCCCTTGTCCTATCACTACAGTCCCTAATGAAGAGTCCCTCCCCAGCATCCCTATAGGCCCCCTTCAGATAGCGGAAGGCTGCTCTGAGGTCTCCACGCAGCCTTCTCTTCTCCAGGCTGAACAGCCCCAACCTTCTCAGCCTTTGCCTGGGTTGGAAGGGGCAGAGCTGCTCTCTGCTGCCCGGGGTCCCCATGCCTGGCTGCGGGGCTGCCTCTCTCCAGATGTGCCATTTACAGCTCAACATCTGACCATGCTTTTGCTAAGTAAGCATCAGGAACCCCAACTGTGACCGCTCAGCTGCTGCCGCGCCTCCAGCACGGCTCCATCCTGGTGCAGCAGCCCCGTGCTGACAAACACAGGGTGTCTGCTGTTGGTTTGAACCAGAAACCTGGTCCCGATGCTGTCTTAACAGCTGAAGAGGCACCCGTGGTAAATGGGGTGTTCATTGCTGCCTTGAAACGTGCGTGCAGAGGTGGTGGAGCTGCTGGTTCAAGAGCAGCTTCCACCCAAACGACTCCAGGCAGACGCGTCTGAAAACGTCACTTTATTTCTCAGTTATAAAAGCAGGGTTTTGTTGGTTTTACATCTCTGTAAGTGTCCAGACTCGGTACATCTTGGGGTTGTTTTCACAGTATCTCTGCAAGACCAAGGACGATTCTTATTGCTGCGCCAGGCGTCGGGGCTCGGGCAGCCCTTGCCTTCCCCCCTGCCGCTGGACCCAGCCTTGCTCGCTGCTGCGCCGGCTCAGCAGGTCTATACCCCCCCCCCCCAAACACTGCTTCACTTCTCTGTTGGCTCTCCAAGGGGCTGCCCTGCTCTTGCCACGCTCATCTCAGCGTTAAGGGTAGGAAAGGAGAACTGTATGGCCCATGACGCTGTGGGGCTAAGGGGAGGGTTTTGGCCAGGGCTCACCCTGCTGCTTCCCACCCTGGACCACCACAGGATTCTGACTGGGATGCTCAGGCTATAAAGAGCCGAGCATCACTGATGGGAGAGGTGAGGCAGAGACAAGCTCACGCACATCAGGATCCCATGGTGGTGCCCCATCGCCTTACCCGCGTATCCTTTGTGCATTCCTGGTTCTGCAAGAAGCTGCCAGAGAAGGAGCTTTATTCACCTCTTATTTACCACCCTACTCAGCGCAGGATGCCCCGGGTCCCCAGACATTTAAGTCCCCATTGGGACCCTGTCAATCCCCATTCTAACCACATGACCGTTAACCAGCCATAGCAATAGCGATGTCTATAGCACCTGTAACTTCCAGCCACCATTCCTTCTCTATTCCACCTGTCCCAGTCAGGTCTGTAATGAAGCAGCATTGGAAAAACATCACTTTTAATCACAACGCATGAAATCTCAAAAGAGGCAGCATCACTTTTCTACGCCATGTCTGGTGATGGAGGTGGAGGGGCACGTTTCAACCTAGGCACGGGATAAAGGCATTCTTTGGGAAGGGAGAAGTCCATGCAAAGCCGACCCCAACGTGAACTTTGAATTTCATATTTACTGCTTAGCTGGGTCTGTTCAGTGCAACGGAACGCATTAGCCAGGAGGTTACTATCAAATTGCATGGATGCATCCAGTCTACCAGGTAGAGGGAAGTAGGGGGAACGAGATTTAATGCACTGGGAGACTAAGTCCGACACAGAGCTAAGTGGAAAAGGACGTAGGTGTTCCCTGAATGTGGTTTTTGGTGACTGAGAAGAAATCTTTCCTTGGAATTCCTTCGTGCAGCTTATTAAGACAACTGGGTCCGATTCCTTCGACCCATGCTGACATCAGTGAGAACTGTAAGTACTCAGCACCCGGAGACAAAGTGAGTACCAGGCATAAATACCCCTTTCTGCTCATCCCAAAGGGACTGCATCCAAGCAGTAGCCGAGATGCAAGCAAGCGTTATCAGCTCTTCACCCACAGCTCACATTTTGTCCTCTTCTGCATGTATTGCCTAGGAGAAAATACAAGTCCCAAAGGGCTGTGCCAGTAGAGCTATAGTTAGCATTTGAATCCGTGTAAGAAAATGGAGTTTAATACAGAGTGACTGTGCAAGTCAAAGTCTCCCTAGCTTCATCCTGTATAGTCCCAAAGCCTAGATTTAGGCTAACTTTGGCTCATGGATTTGGGTTTGATCCAGTCCACTTGTCTGCAAGCTGCTTGTAATGCTGGACTTCCTCCCTCTGGGATCTGCTCGATGAAGAGAGCAGCTCCGTGACCGAGCATCTCTGACCACCAGTGCATGGAGAAGGGTGGTCTTCCCGGGAAAGTGGGGGTACAGTGATTGCAGGGACCCAGGATCCTTGTTTGCTGGTTCGAGATTGTCATGGCGGGGGGATCTATCTTCTCAACCTGCTTTCCCCAGGCAGGTGATGTTGAACCTGGTGCCAAGTCGATGACGTGGCTTTGGAGAAGTGGGAAGGAGAATTTCTTGCTGGTAATGTCCTGTGTGGGAGATGAGGATGGCAATAGCAGCGAATTGGTGCCTCTCCGAGGGGAGAGCCTTTAGAGCAGCGTGTGTGTGGTTGTGAGACCTGTTCAGACCAGCTCAGCAGGGCCAGGCTTGTCCCTGGCACGCCGAGCTCTCTTCAGTCCTTGCTCTCGAGGCGAATTGTTAGTAAGAGGAAGAGATGTTTTCTAGGGGCAGGAGCTGCAGAGGGAAGGGGAAGTGCTCTGCCTCAGGCTGTGTGCTGGAGCAAGAGAGCAGAGCCTCCACTTCCATCCTGTGCCCTGTGCTCCAGATGCCACCTCTGCTGCAGGATTTCCTCTGCCTGCAAACCATGCCCTTCCCGTTCCAATGGCTCCTCCACACCGCCTTCCTCTGCAGAAGAGCATCTGGTACCCTCTGAAGCCGTATTGAAACCTACAGGTTCCACCTCCTGCTCCAATGCACCTTCCTTACTGGAGGGTCTAGACCCCAGCCTCAGTGCTGCCCTGCTTGCACCTTCTCACGCGTTACCCTTTGCTACATAGACGTTTGTGCAGTAATCAGACAGGTACAGTACCATGGTCCTGTCCGTATCCCATTCCTGATGGGTGCGTAGATCGTGAGTGAGGTCGTTTGGAAGAAGATTCTCTAACCCCAGTGTGATTTGTTGTCATGGGAAGAAGAGTTTTTCCTAGCTTCTGCTTGGAATGGGTGCCTGATATTTTCAGATGTGGCTGCTCCTGAATTATGGATCTTGCTGGGTAGACTTGGGAGATAGGATCTGCCCTCGCTTACACCCATGCATCTCCAATTACTTCAGAAGGATCCTTTTTATATCCTGCTCTTCTTACAGCGCTGTCAGTTGGATTTCATGGGAAAACTGGGCAACAGCTTCACCCACCAACAGCCAGCGCACGAGCCATTGGCTCTTGCACCCCAAGCTGGTGGATTGCGGGCTACAGCTGGCAAATATCTGTGTGTCTTAAAGCCAAACCCTGTGGGACATCATCCCCTCTTGGTGCATGTTACCTCCCAGGGCCACAGCTCCAGCTGTGAGCTTGTCCCATATGATGATGCTAACAGGAGACTGAGACCACCAAGCATAAGCAGAGCAAGCTTCTTGCTACCTCTTCTGTGAAGCAGGGACATGGCCCAGTAGCTCCCACTCGAGAGACATCCTACAGCAGGTTTGGTATTTGCATTGCTTTGAAACTGAGATTACTTCCATGCTTCCTTGATCCAGGTTGTAAAACCAGGATGATTCTCTTTTTATCATGCTTCTCCCAACCTCAGGCCCTTTTCTTTTCCCATCCATCAACACACTGATGGATCCATTCCTCACTCCAAAACTTTCTCTGCAGAAAAAGGACATTCTGCCTGGTGGTGGTGGTGTTGGTTCATTGTTTGTCAGACGTAGCTTTAAGGCAAAAGTTTGGCAATGCAAAGCAAAGTCTACATAAGGCCGCATGACTTGGATTTGCAACTCAGAACCTGATAGCTTAAAAAGAAAAGAACCATAATCCCTATCTTAAATAATCAACTTTTTGCTCCAGGGACTTGTTTTGTTCTCAACCAAAATGGAAAAAAAAAAATAAAAGGGAAAAAAAAAACCCTTTAAAAATCCCAAATAAAATGTCCTTATTGTTCGGGGCAGTCTGGACAAGCTAATGAGACTGAAGTTCAAACAGTAACTAAAGTAGGGAAGAAAAAAAGACAGCTCTAGGGGTAGACATCAGTGTTAGTTTCTTCCCTTAGGAATCCAGTGATGAGACAGACCCCGGTCAAAGGTCTCCTCTTTAGCTTTAGCACAGTGAAATCCGTCCCAATGGGAGAAGGTAGAATGGTTGCATTTGTTGAATGAAGAAAAAGTGCATTCTTGATTTTGCTCAGATTCTATGTGTGTATTCTAATACCTAAGTGATTGTTTTGCTCTTCGGGTTCGTCGGTTCGTTTCTCTTTTTCTCCCTTTTGGTGCCGGGACGCCAGGTTTGTATTACCGGTGTTTGGGAGGTATCACCACGAGCGGCTGCCCATCCTTTGGCCTCCACATGAGTACCTGAGCATCATTGGCATTGGGTTTGACAAGGGCACTGGGTGGTATTGGCTCATTCTTGCTAAGGACCTGGGGCTGCTCTTGAGCAGAGGGCTCCTGCAGCTTGGCACGCTGCCCCAAGGGTCTGCTGGGGTTCACCTCGATGCCCAGCCTCATGCGCCATTTGATAGTCTGCAAGGTCACCATCTCGTTGGTGGCCGTGTTGGTTGCCACCAGCCACGTGGTGAAGCTTTGATCCCGGTGAATGCTTGTGAGTTTGGCCACGTTGCTCTCGCTGACGGGCACTGCCCACGTCACGCTCGGGTAGAAGTTGTCGTTCATGCTGATGTTGAACTTGGACTCCTTCTTGGTGGGACCCACGATGGTGCAGGTTTCGGTCGTGTTCCCGTACCAGGGATAGTTCACTCCGTCTGAGTCGCTGATGGCCTGGATTTTACCGTCCAGTAGATCCGGGAGCTCCCAACTTGACCTGCCGTAACCAACAGCAAGTTATGGATAATGCATTAATTCATTAGATTAGAAACATGCCAGGCTTCAAGGAAGGGGTTGTGAATGCATCCCCCCCCTTTAGCTTTTACTGGAATTTGTGCCTTTCCCACCATCCTGCTGAAAAGGCCCCATCCCTGCCATTAAAACTGCCTGCACATTTCCAGGACTGATCATGGAAGTCTGTCCTGCTGTTAAACACCATTGAGGAGCAAGCATCAAACAGGGATACCTTGCAGGGACCGAAGGTCCTTTCCAACCCTAACTATTCTATGATTCGATGGTAGCCTGGAGTGGTTCAAACTGTGTCTATTTAAGGCTGCAAAGGGTGAGTGCTCCAGCGCTGGAGATAACGCAGTGTTGCAGGTATCTCCTTGCAGGTCCTTGGCTGGCTGAACACAAGGACTCACCCCAGCACTGTATTCAGCACTGAGAGCAGGGCTCGGGGCTGAATTGCCTTCTCTCAATAGCACGGTATCTCCGGTGTCAGCAGAAGAGCAGGCAGGCTCAGAGCTGGCCCTGGGGTGAGGTGACAAAAGGCCCAAGTGATTGAAGTAGGACTCAACTGGATCATAAAGCTTCCCACTGCCCTGTTCTGTTCTTCCCTTTCAGTGCCTGGGTCAGCCGCTGTCTCTCCCTGCTGCCTGCCTGGCACTGCCCGTGTAACCCATCCTTCTCCAGCCCTAGGAAGGACCCAGTTCAAAGGCTGCACCCCAGGCTCTGGGCTGGGGATGCTATTACAGTAATCAGAGAAACTGAGGTCAGCCAGCCTGTAAAACTGCCTGAGCCGGTCGCTGGGTGCTGTGCTTGTGAGCAGGCAGAAAGGTCGGGCTTTAGGGCAAGCAAGGGAGTGAAAACTGCCTCTGTCACCTTGCAGCACACAACCGGGGTTGGGTTTCTTCATTAACTTCCGATTTAATTAAGATCAGATTTGCCAATAGAAGCAAACTGCTGTAAATGCCTCAGATAAAGGGGTAGGTGCATGCAGAGTGATGGCATAACTACAGAGCATGTGCCAGGTATTTTAAGGACACTCTTTTATAAAGCAGGCTGGTAGACAAGGCTCTGATGTACCTTCTCCTCCTTGCTTACAGACCAGCCCTCCCAGCATCCAGAGATGCTGAAGTGGCAGAAGGGGCTGTGTGTCAGCAGCTCCCACCCTTGACCCACCATGGGGCTGGGATATGAGGCTGTATCCCAGCCCCCCCCCCAAGCCCTGTGGCCCCCTACATAATGGGACATAGTTTATCTTAGGAGGGAGACCGAGAACATGTGCTCAGGCTCAGCAGAGTGACTGTCCAAGCCTTTATTAAGCCCAGTGCTGCAGCTTAAAATAGCCCTTTGGCTGAAGCAGGGGCTGAAGTGGGCGCAAGCAGGCAGGGGGCTCATGTGGGACCCAGCCAGCTCTAACTCAGCATTGGATGAGCTGCTCCTCTGCTCTGGCCAGGACTAATGGAACAGTCTCACAAGGCTGTTCTGGTAATTAGTTAATGACCGTGAAGTGCCTCCATGTTTGGAGCCATTGGATCGCTCAGCAGTTGGCTGTAAATGCCTGGCTGGGGCTAGATACTGCGGGGGATTTAAAGATCTCATCTCTCTTTTCACCCGAGCAAGGGGGGTGTCCTCGTTAAAAGTCCCCCCTATGCCATGGCAAACGTTGGGCAAAGGGCTGCCCTGTGCAGGAGGTGGGTGGTTTGCAGGTCGGCTATGGCCTGGGAGGTGAAGGGCAAGGCAGGACGCAGGCTGTGCAGCAGGGATGCAGGGATGCTCCGAGCAGCAGGACCAGGGTTATGCAAGCGCGACATCTCCGCACACAGATTTAGGGGCTGCTGTCAGCTCTGGCACCGCAGCTGCAGCAAATCCTCCCCTCCCGAGCCCATGGCCAGCAGGCAGAGGGAGTCCTTTCCCTGGAAGAAAATCTGTAGTGAAGGCAGCCAAAAGGAGATCCCTGAGCAGCCCTGCCAGGACCCCCATCGCTGCAGAGACGTTGATGCGCTCTGCTCTCTAAACCAGAGTCATCCTCGCTCGCCATCCCCCATGCTCTTCAGGGAAAAGCCCTGGGGATGCTGGATGAGGGCAGCCCTCAGCAGGCAGATGAGCAGAGGTCGTGTCTGCAGCCCCCACCGCACAGCCCGGCTCTGAAACACCATCTGGGGGCTCTTTCTCTCCCTTTCAGCAGATGGTTTAGGATTACTTTCCATTCAGTGGCCAGGACCCAGCTTGGCTGTCACCTGGGGATGAGATGTGATGATTTCCCAGAGGTGCACCCTGACAGGCATGGTGCTAAGGTGCAGCTGCAGCATCTCTGTGGGTACCACAGTGCCAAACTGAGACCTGAGATGCTGCAAGAGGCTGGTGGGCAAATGGCAGGAGAATCAGGTAGAGGATGCTCTGAAACTGCAGGGCAACTAAGACCTGCTTGTCCCTATACATATAAGATCCCCAGACCAATAGAGAATCCCAGACTGGATTGGATGGGACCTTAAAGCTCATCCAGTTCCAACCCCCTGCCATGGGCAGGGGCACCGTCCACTAGAGCAGGTTGCTGCAGGACCATGTCAGGATTTGCCTAGGGTTTAAACAAGAGCAAGAAGTGGATCTGTGTCAGGGCATGGGGAGGCTGCTGAAGGCAGGAAGCTGCCCTCAGAGCCTGCAGAACCTCAGTGCAAAGCCGAGCGTGTTGGTGAGCAGCACGGCCGTGCTCAGGCTCAGAAGCGCATCCTGCTTAGGAAAAGGCATTGGCAGGAATGGGGAAGAAGAAACTGGGCTGTGCTTCCTCATGGAGCACCCTGTGCTTAACTCTAGAGTGTGGTTAACCCTGGGGTTTCAAAACCATGAGGCTCTGTCTGCACAGCTTAGCCATGAGAAGAAAACCGAGGCCTTATGGTGTTCCCATGACTGGAGCGAAACCAGATGGTTGCTGCTGGTCATGGTTGGACCTTGCCTGCTGCTACAGCAAAGCTTGCACATGGCCAGGCTGGTAGCCTTTGCCTGCATAGCGTGTCCGTGTTAAACAATATGCCAACAACTGGCTTTTTGGATGATTTTGGACAGAACGCTGTGGAATGATCTTTGGCTGCATCAGCATCTTTCTGTGGTGGTGTCGAGCCAAGAAAAGACCAGAAAGTGCCTAGTAAACACTTTGCTGACAATAGCAGGGAAGAGGCATGAAAAGGAACCAACCTATCTGGTTTCATGGATTCACCGTGGCTGATCGGCTCCAAAATCAGTAGGTTCCGGCTTGTAATGCTGGCAGGCTTGTTCCTGCCTCTTCTGAAACCTTCACGGTCAGGATGGGCACCACCAGGGACTGGATGCTAACAAAACCCTGTTAACAAATGGCTTTTTCCTATCAGAAGGAACTTTGAGCTACTCCTTGTGGCACAACCATAGCCCTGCTGCTGACAGCCAAGCAGCTTTATGTAGGTTTTAGGCTCCCAGTCCTCACTTCTTCCTGTTCTGTCACATGAGATGAAGCCCCCCCAGCTTACCCCAAGCCCCACAGCACAAACCGGAGCCATCACTGCAGTGACAGCAAATCCAAGCCTCCAGCCCTGTGCATCCCGCAGCGACACGGGGATGTTCAGTCAACCTTTTACAACAGGCATCAGGCACTACCAGCACCAGTTCCTTACAGCCAGCTCCTAATTAGTCACAGGCCAGATGTGCTCGTGCTTTCCCACACCCTTCCCCTCCACCAGCGCCCTAGATGGGAGAAGCCGACCTCGGATGCAGACTGTGCTCGTTGCAGGTACCGGTGCAGTGCAAAGCCGTCTCGTGTATTTCACATCCCTGCTCCTGCCTCCCTCCATCCATCCCTCCCTCCCTCCTGCGCCTGTGCTGAAAGAGAGAACCTGACAGTCGGAGCTGCTTGATTTTAAACGGCCCTTTCCAGCGCCTGTCTCGCCTGCTGCAGCACATCGAGAGATCCAAGCCGCGGTTACAGCAAAGAACAGGAAGGAAACTCAAGATGTTGTTCCCCTGTTGCCGGAGTCACGCTGCTGTGGTCCCTCTTCCCCCCGCCATCCTCCAGCTGCGTGTTCCTGCTGGTGAACCGGCAGTGATGTTTGCTGCGTGATGGTTCAGGGAGTAACACCAGCAGAACGCTGGTGCTAATGCTGCTTCAGCTGAGCAGGCTCAAATCAGGCCGGACAAGCTATTTGCCTGTGTTAAACTGTATGCATACAGCACAGGTAAGGGCAGCAAAGCCTTTTCATCCAAACCCCCAAAGGGTAAATTCCCACTGTGAGCTGACCTCCCTTTGCTTCCCAGCGAAAGGATAACCTTATTTTTCTCCTATGGTGAATCTGGTTTTGACTGTGTTTTCCCTTCTAAGGACTGGGGGTTTATTCTCTTGACAAGTTGATTTCTCGAGTTCATTGTGCCTCTGCTGCAGGGCATAGGAGATTTAATGTCACAAGAGAGATGCTGGGTAGGTAAAGCGATGATGTAATGCTGCAAGCTGCCCCATCAGGGAGAAATATCCACCTGAAACTTCTCCAGATTCTGGGCTGATCATATGCAAACTCCAATTTATTTCTCTCCCTGTTTTGCATATCTCCATCTGCACCGCTTCTTGCACATCTCCATGGAGATGAAGAAACGAGGCTGGATAACGCTGTTCTGGCATCACCCAGCCACTAACACAGGTCCCACCAAGTGCTGCATGATGGGGAACCAGCACCCATGGGGAAGATCCCAGTGGGGACCCCATCCAGCTGCTCCCACACAGGCCTGATCCTGATGCTTCCCACTGCACAGCAGCATCCCTCCCTAAGGAACAGGGTAAAACCCTGCTCGAGGGAGCAGCAACAGCAGGCAGGAGACTGCCCCAGTTCTGCAGGGAAGTGGGGTCAGAGAGCACTTCCACATCCTCATGCTGGAGGTTTTCCCATTCCCAGCAGCACCTACTGACTTACATGTAAAATAATGCCAGCATTCGCGTGTCATCTAAGCTTTAATTGTTTGCCTTTATACCTAAAACCACTGCGTTTAGCCCCAAATGGCTAGTGCCACTTCAAACGTGTCTGAATTATCCCCTCTGTAACCAACATCCCTATACAGGCACTGCTCCATCTCCTCCAGTATTTCTCAGCTGTTTCTGTCCTCAACATAATGGCCATCTTATACACAGTTAACAACTTTGGGGCATGGAAGCGACAAATTAACCCAAAGCCTGCTGTAAGCACTGATGCTCCAGCTGACCAAGTGATTTTTGATGATTTGGTGTTTTCTGTTTGCTTGTCACCCCAGTGATCAAAGAGATGTGTGTTGCAGCAGCCTCTCTCCATCATGGAAAGTTGGGACAAATACTCTGCTGGCATAAATCAATGCAGCTCTGTGGAGGTCAGTGAGATTACATTGAGTTACACCAGCTACAGGCTTTGCCCATCTTTCAGATAGGTTTGTGTCCTGTCCCTCTCTCTGTAAAGGTCTTCCAAGAGCATGTGTCAATGGCATTGAAAGAAGCCTTTCCTCCCAAACGCCTTTATTTATAGCTTTCAGATGGTGACAGGTCTATAGAAAGAGAGTGGAGGAGCAGGCCAATTCCTGCTTGTGTTTGGGGAACTCCTTTCTCTGTACCAGTTAAACGTCAATGAACCTCCTAGGGAAAAATCCTTGTTTCCATGATTTTCTAGCTAATAACTCCCTGACATAGCTGCAGTGTTCAATTCTGACTCCCTGTTTACAGCACTCAGCCTGTAGATACCACTTTTCCTTGGTCTCAAAGCATTCCAGCAAGGGAAGACTGTACCAAACCCTCATTCCAAACACAGGCAAACTCAGGTGCAGGGAAATAGAAGGACACAGCAGCCCTAGCAGAGCAGCTCTCTGCCCAGTCCTTGTTTCAGTGGATGTGAGCTGTATTTATATACAGTGGACTTCTCTGTTTTCCTTCGCAGCTGGTCGCTGAAGACAGGATTTCTAAATGAGCCTGAGAATTACACATGCAAATCCCATAGGCCTGGAATTGGGAACATCTGAGCAACAAATTGTCCTTGCTAAAGATGGTGCCGGAGCCAAAAAGCCTACAGATTTCGGGCCTGCTGTAAGTACTTTTAAAATCAAGCTAAGCTGGTCTGCTCCCTCACTGAGCCTCATTGGTGCTGTTTGCCAGGTGCCAGTTTGCTTCTCAAGGCACTTTATGCTTGAGCAGAGAGAGGACATGGGGACAAAAGTGGGGGGGACACTGTCACGGCTGCTCCTCACTTGCCTTTGGTCTGCTCCACATCTTACAACACGTATGCACTTTATGTCTGGGATGCTGAGCCTGTCTCCTTATCTGAGCTTACAGGCAGGAGGGAGGGAAGAAGGGCCGGGATGTGCGTGCAGATGTTCAGGTTGATGGCAGGGAGGCACTGCACTAAGTCAGTCTATCCTGCTCTGCAGCCGTGTTCCCTCAGCCCTCCTCATTGACCATCTTTTAAGCCACACAGAATGACCTTTGAGGGGCTGAGGCAGCATCCCTCTAACACCGGGTACTCAGATGAGCAGATAGGAGAGTTCCTTAGGATCTGACCTTCCCGTCCTTCTTCCCTTGCTCCTGTGACCGGGCAGCATCAGCACCTCCAGCCCCCAAACCATCTGCCAGCCCCGAGCTCATTCCCATGGCTGGACAGACAGATCTCTGCTGCACCCAGCGCTGCCAGCACCGTGCACTGCAGAACTGCTGGGCTGTGCAGGCATCTGGACATCAGGTGCTGTTGCTGCTTTAACTACGAGCCAAACCCTGCACCAGCGTCTGGTGATCAAACTGGCGGAGGACTGGGGAGGAGACGACTTTTCTCAGTGGGGAGGTGACATTTTCATTTGACTCGTTCCTGTCTTACTGTCTGACCAGTAACAGGGTGGTTTTCTTGTGCCAAACAGCCCCTCACTTCCCCCTATATCTATCTTTCCCCTATCTTACATTACCCCAAAAGAGGGTAATGTGAAATTTTCACCCTGCAAAGGGTTTAACTCTCAGTGGGTTAAATCCATGTTGTTCTGTCCCTGTAGGCTGCCTGCTGCCATAGGCAAAGCAAGCAGGATCCATCCCCCGATGTCAAATGTGTTCCCAAAGCTGTTGGGCCACCGAGCCCCCAGTGGTGGCCCACTGCAGCAGCAGTAGTGCCCGCTGGGGCCAGCAATGTGCCACAAGTGTGAGCCCTTGGGCTTCCCTGGGGCTTCTCAAGGAGCAGATTTACCCTGGGAGGGATGGGGAGGGATGCAGATGAGAGGAGCTGGCAGTCAGGGGGACCCCTTGTGTAAAGCATGTATCAACACAAGGCTGCCTGTGGTACCAGGGCTGATCTGGGCTTCCAGGATCTCCAGTGCTGCTCAAAAGCTGTTGGGAAACGTAGGATTGCTGTTGGGTTCTTATCAGAGCAAGTGGGTTTTGGTTATGGCTTGGGCACATTTCCATTAGACGGGAAGAACACCCACTCCTTTTAAAGGGCAGGGACAAGCTCTCCTGTATTTTAAACATAGGATAAAGTCCTGTTAAGTTTCAGAAGAGCTGGGTTTTGAAATCAAACCAACTGCATTAGGATTTTCAGCTTAATCCAGTATTTCCACCCAGGCCATGGTCCTTCCCACTAGGCAAACGCACCCGCACGTGCTCGTGGAAATACTTACATTCCCTGCTCCCCGTAGTGATTGTAAAATTCCATGTGGCTGCAAGCCTGGATCCAGCCCACGATCCAGGTCTCCTTCTTGGGAATAGGGGGCACCAACACTTGTGCAGAGGCTCGGAAGTGAGGGGTCCGGTAGCGCAGGACCACGCTGGAGGACTCGTCGATGCTGGTGGGAATGGGATCGATGGAGGCTTTGACTTCAATCACGGAAATACTTTCCCGGAAAACTTTGGATTTGCAGCTAATACTCTGAATACAGCCCATGGCATACCCCGAGTACAGTCCGACGCAGCTCCTAGGGTACTCCAGCAATCCTGGGGAATATTAGGCATTGAAATGATCTGGTGCTAGATCAATTACAGACCTTCTTGGTTTGTAATCTCAAAACTGATATCCATAGGATAGAAAATTCATCACGTAAAGCCTTAATTTGAGTATCTGTCTTACAAGTACTGCTATTTTTGAGGCTAGCTGCACTTTAGAAGCACAAAGGGCCTTTAAAACTGTTTTCCCCTTTTAATGACCCATTAAATATATCACTCAAACAGTCTTTGGGTTAAAAAAAAGAAGGGCTCTTGAGTTCAATAAATAACAGGGGTGTTCTTAGCTGATATATTTAGTCCTTCCTTTCCTCAGATGCGGTCTGTCATTCACCGTCAAACATAGAACTAGCCGGTATTTCCCTTTATTCTTTGGATGAAAAGCAGAATGTTGATAGACACATCTATATAAATAATGAAATAGTTTTTAGCCCCGGCTTGTCACAACCGGTGTGGATTTCCACTTCCTGACTTGCAGTTGTTCAGAACTTCCTTTCGCACACAAAAAAATCACAATAATAAACCCGAAAGAGACGACGGGTGGAAAATGCACGGAGTAGCCAAAGCGCCGGTGGTTGGAGGCTCCTCCGCCAGCGATGCTTTGGGGGTTATCATTAATTATAATGCTCTTTCCTTAGAAATAGCCGGAGCCGCACGGACTGACCGGGGGTCCCGCTCCCGCAGCGGGGCCGCGCTCAGCACCGCGGAATCACCGCCCGTGACATCCCGCCGCCACGCACCGGCCCGGGGGGCGCCGGCCCCGCGGCTCCCCTTCCTCCTCCTCCTCCTCCTCCTCCTCCTCGGCGAGCGTCTCTCCGCAGGGGTGTCCGACCTTCCTCCTCCTCCTCCTCCCGCTGCTGCTGCCGGGCGAGCGGGCTGCGGCTCAGCCTGCGGGGCTCATGGGCTGCCCCGCACACACGCGTGGGCCCCGCGGGGCGGTCACAGCATCCCGCGGCGGCGGGAGCAGCGCCGAGCCCCGGCCGCCGCGCTCCGCACCGGGCTCCGCGCTCCCTGCGCTGCGCGGAGGCGCGGTGCGGCGGGCGGAGGTGGAAGGGGGGGGGGGGGGGGGGTGTAGGGGGGAGGCTCCTTCTCTCGCTCCTTTTTTTCCTCCCTTCGCCTCTTTGCTAGATGCCCGGGGAGGTGAGAGGAGCAGGATCGGTGCCTCCGCCTCCTGGCTGCAGCGAGCTTCCTCTCTCGCAATACATGCATGCATACGGGGACAGCGCCGGCCCCGCGCTCAGCCTCGCCGCTGGAGCTAAGGGCGAGGGGGGGGTATCGGGGAGGGCCCCCGCTCCGGTCGCAGCCGCAGGATCAGAAAGGCAACGGGGTCAAACTTTGCCCAAACTCGCCCGTTGCTGCCCCGAGCCCCCCGGCGAGCCCCGCCGGCCGCCTGGGCTGGGACCGCCGCATGACAGCGGCCCCGAGCCCGCTGCGCTCCCTGCCCGCCCGTCCTCCCTCCTTCGCCCAGTCCCATCCCTCCCCCTGTATTTCGCTTTTAAACTGCAGCTGTTGAAGCTAAACCTCCTTTGCAAAAAGCAGCATTTCCTCCCCCTGCTCCGCGGATTGTGGGTAATGTAGTTTTGGTGAGACATGGCTCCCCACCCCTTCCCTTCCCTTTTCTTTTCCCCAGTGTATTTGCTCTCGGGTTTTCAGTTTAAGAGTTCCCTCTCCCAGCTGGAGCTTGGGTGGTAGATTTGGGAAAAGGGTGGTTTCCTTCTGTGCAAAACCAGTAGCCCTGAGCTTATGGACTGGGTTTCAAGCAGCCAGAAAGCAGCGCACTGACTGGGGAGCAACTGGAATAGAGACTTAAGAGCCACCCAAGGCAGCAGCAGCCCGTGGCAAAGTTGTAAACTTCTGTAATGGATCATTTCAGGAGTAACGCTGCTGAGGATCCCAACTGCAAGAGCTGAGCACCAGGAGAGGGATGTGTGTGTCCAGCTTTTTGGTAATAGCTGCTGCGCATTGAGGGGGATGCAGAGCTCCGGGTGCATGTTTGTTGTTATTATTGTACCCTTTGTGGCGTGTTTCTGCATAGGGAACCTGGGGAACCAAGAGCAAAAACCTCTTTGCCAGTGATGCCTACAGTGTGCTACAGCAGAGCAGAGTGGAATAAATGTCTTTTATTCATAGAGACCTAGGATCAGGAATGGTTTGGGTTGGAAGGGACCTTAAAGCTCCTCCAGCTCCAACCCCTGCCATGGGCAGGGACACCTTCCACTGGAGCAGCTTGCTCCAAGCCCCTGTGTCCAACCTGGCCTTGAGCACTGCCAGGGATGGGGCAGCCACAGCTTCTCTGGGCACCCTGTGCCAGCGCCTCAGCACCCTCACAGGGAAGAGCTGCTGCCGAAGAGCTCAGCTCAGTCTCCCCTCGGGCAGGTTCAAGCCATTCCCCTTGGCCTGTCCCTACAGGCCCTTGTCCAAAGCCCCTCTCCATCTTTCTTGTAGGCCCCTTTAGATATTAGTATTAGTCCTTCCCACCCTGTGCTCTCAACAGGCTCGATGAGCTCACTCTCCAGCACTGTGCACTTGCTGTCTGCCCTCCGATAGGAGGGAGAGACTGGAGCTACTGGGTGATCCTAACAAGCGAATGCCACGGGGTGAGGGGAGGCAGATTTGTTCCCTTCCACTGCAGCGGTGGAAAACACCCCATCTATTGCTTTTCTTCTGTGCATTTCTCAAAGGCTTGGCCAAGCATTTCCTTCAAACTTCCCAATAAAGTGCACAATTACAGTCACTAGCTCCAGCACAGCTACGAGAGCCAAGAACACACTCAAGTTACAAGCAACTTACCATCACGTAGCACAAGAAAGAATGGAATGAGCATCTCTAAGTGCAATATCCAGTTGCTTCAGCAGCCTCCAGAAGGTGTTGAAATCCTTTGACATTTCCAAGACTCTTTCACACTTTTCAAACAAGCTTGTCACACTTTCTCAGAGCATCATGAATCTGGTGAAACGGCGTCTTCGGCACCTCCAGTCTCACGAAGCTTCAGCCAGGTTTTGCTTCAGCTTGGCTGTCTCTGGTGTTCTGGTCAAGGAGGAAATTGCATTATTTCATTCTAATTAAATCAGCTTTTTAACTGCAGATGGAGTTTTCTCTGGGTTTTGGTTGTGCCCATCCCCATCACGCTGCTGGGAGTGATGAGTGTGGCTGCATTGAGCCCTGTATTGAGCCATTCCTATGCCTGAAAGCATGCTGCTCACTGATGGAATAGTTGGAGAGGTGAGGCTGAGCTGCGGTAAGTATGAATTACCAGTGTCTGGTGATGCTGTGTTGTGTTTCCTTCTCCTCCTTGTTTGATGAACCTCCCCATGTCTCATTGTAGCATGGCCGTGCTCCATTCCTGCCGTTATTACTGTGCCTCTATGTCCTTCCAGCATGTTTTCCTGGTTTATGGAAAGGCAGGGTTTGCTCTTCACCATCTGATCAGCAGCACATACAAGCAGCCCACTGGAGGCTACGTTGTGCTGTGCTGATGGGCCTGGCTGGATCTGCTGCCTGTGGCATACACACTGCACAAGACCACATTTCACTTTGGCCAAGCTCTCTCTCTTTCTCACCCCCAGAGCAATCCCACTCAGGAACACCATGGGTTTGCTTGCAATCATTTTGGCTGCAAGCTCTGCTTCTTGGCCAGGCACTGCTGGAGGCTGGGATGCACCAACACTGCCAGTGAATCACAGAGAAAGGGGACGTTGCTGCCTCTCCCATCCCACCCCATCTCCAGCCATCCATGGGGAATTGCGGTGGGCACCATGGGACTGCAGCACAGGACACTGCAGGGTGACAGGGAGGCAGCAGCACAGGGAGGCTGAGCGAGCTGGGAGCATGGAGCACACCAGATTTGTCCATGCGGATTTGTCCGTCCGGGCATTCTCCCAGGTGATCCGTGTGGATCGGGTGTCAGGCCTGGAATAGCCCTGCTGGAGCAGGAAGCCTGTCTACAAGCTTAGCAGGGATATTTATAAACCCTGGGGTTTGTGGCTGTGTTGTGAGCAGAGCAGCAGGATGGTGCTCATCATGGTCCCAGTGCAGGGACTGGGGAGGTTTCCTTCCCAAGCTTGGTTTCCCTGGCTGGATCCGGTGCTGACAGCCCACCCTGTTGCAGGAGAGACCAAACTGCTTTCCTTTCCCACTGCCCTTTTGACAGGGGTTTGCTGGTGCTGCATCCATCCCATGCAACCCTTCCTCCTCCATCCCCTTCCCACTGGGGACTCGTGCTGGGCTGTGGTGGACTCTCACAGGGAGGCTGGGGCAGCTCTGTATGTAAGGCAGGGAAATTCCCTTGTATCAGCATCAGCAGAAGAGACAGGCACCAGATTAAATTAACTCCACAGGCTTTCAAGGTATTTTTTACCCTGTGACATGCTCAGTAACAGCTCAGCATCCTGGGCACTGGACTGGACAGAGGGAGGGATGATTCTCCCTCTTTCTGTAGGCTTTCTGTGCCTGTGATGTTTGCAAAGAGCCCCGCACAGCAGCAGCCCTGCATGGAGCTGGAGGAGCAGGGCACCCATCCAGCAGGGAGGTGATGGCTGGAGCCAAGCTGAAGCAGTGATGATGGTTATCTCCTTGGCTCATGGCAGGTGGGCTGAGATTTACCGCATGCCTCGGAGCGGGGCAGCGGGATGAGGGCAGGCAGATAGGGACAGGGTGCTGACTGCCCTGATAGCGTGAGAATGCTGCTGAGCAGACAATGACCAGACAGGAGCTGGTGGGTGTCGGGGATGTGACAGTGCCAAGTGGTACCCGAGCTGAAGGGGTTGTGGTTTATGGGCTGGTGGGGGGGGGCAGCTCTTCCTCCAGCTGGAATCATCATCACAGATGAGGGGTAACTTCCTACAGGGTGTGATTCACAGATGAATTGATGTCATTTTCCCTTGAGAAAGGGAAATCTGAGCAAACCCAGGACCTCTGGCACTTGTTTGGCCAAGCATTGCTCTCACCTCTGGTCAGACTGTCAGTCAGATGGGCAAGGGCTGGGTGCATAGTTCTCACAGAGGGTTTTAAGAGCTATGGATTAAAAGTGCAAAGAAAGTGCAAACTTTTCCTTACTTAGAAAGCCAAGAGCCACCCCTCGTTTAGCACCTCAGCTCTCTGTTGGATTTTGGACAAGACTGTTAAAGACACCTGGGTGCCTGATTCCCTGGGTTACCTGTACAAATACTGACCTCCATAACTGGGTGTTTGTCACTGTCACCCAGAGAGGTGCCTGTTCAGCTCCTCGGTGCAATACTCATCTTCTCCACTTCTCTGCCCACGGGGGATTTCCAGCCTATGTGCATAGCAATAATCGTGTTTCTCAGGCGTGTGGGTTGTGTGGAGCCGTGACAGCTCCTTGCCCAGGGAAGGTAACCTGCCTGTCACCCTCTTTCAGCCTGGGATGTGCGATGCTGCATGACACGGCACAAGCGTGCGGTATTGAGGCCACGCTCGGCGCTGGGGGCAGGAGGATGGGAATTCATTTGCGGTGCCGTGTCTCTTTTAATCCAGGAGGCAGGTGATGCTTCTCCCTGCTCCAGGAACGGGGTGAGTGATGGGAGATGCTGCAGGGGTGCACCCTGAGCGGGAAGGGAGGATGGAGCTCGTGATGCTTGAAAGGTATCCATGCAGTGAGAGGAAGGCGGTGTTTAGGGTGCCCTTGCGGGGGGGGAGATGTTGGAGAACAGAGAAATCAATAAGACACCCAGGTAGAATTCCTTGTGAGGAAGCCCCTAATCAACACCCAGCCTTGGAGCTTGCAAAGCCAGGCTGCACAGCACTTGATAGGAGCAGTGCTAGCTGTCATGGGGAGGGGGGATGCTGTGATTTCCTCCAGCTCCTTCTCTCTGACACAGAAATGCGAATTGCCATGCCTAAAAGAACTACATTTCCCATTTTCCCTTGCAGCCCAGGGGAATAAGCAATTGGAAGATTTAAATAGACCAGGCCAGAAGCAACCAACCTTTGGCACAACGCTTTTCCCTCCTCTTCTTCCAATCTATTGGCTGTTTAACCTTTTTCCCTGGCACTGGAGTGGCTGCCAGGCCTGGCATTAATTCTCCTTCCAAGCTTGCTAGGCCCGTGAAGTAAACAGCCATGTGCATTCCTTACTCTATATTTAACAGCTGCAGTCTGTGCTGGGGGCAACTGCAACAGAGGGGAACCTTTGCAGCCTCCCAAATTCACGGCTTGTGAGGGTGGGAGTGGGGGAAGCTTCCTGCAGGGAGAAGAGGGATTTCTCTCCTTCCCGGTGTTTGCAGAGCAGGTTGCGTTAAAGAGAGACTGCAATGCCAGCATCCCAGGCGCGGTCCAGGGCAAGAGACAGGAACAATGTCCTCAACAGGGCTGAGTTCCTCTCCCTGAACCAGCCCTTGAAGGGGAACCAGGAGAACAGGGGCTCCGGCAGAAAGCAGAGCGGCCAGGCCGGAGGAGCTGGTACCCAGAGCAGCAACCCCAAGGAGCGGAGGCAGTCGCAGCAGCTGCCCGAAGAGGACTGCATGCAGCTCAACCCCTCCTTCAAGGGAATCGCCTTCAACTCCCTGCTGGCCATCGATATCTGCATCTCCAAGAGGCTGGGGGTGTGCGCCAACACAGCCTCCTCCTGGGGTGGTGCCCGCTCCATGATCAACCTCCTGGGGATAACGGGGCACGGCATCCCCTGGATCGCGGGGACGCTCATCTGCCTGGTGAAGAGCAGCACGCTGGCAGGCCAAGAGGTCCTCATGAACCTGCTGCTAGGTGAGTGGCAAACCTCCCTCCCCACCGGGAGAGCCCAGCCCTGGTCACAAGGGGCAGCGGCAATGGGACTCCTCCTCTGCCTGCTCCCAGCCACCGGTGTGGTTGGGAAGCAGGGAGTGACCTTTAGGGTGAATGCTGCACGTATTGGCTGTCTCAGTCATGGGTACCATGGGTGATGGGTGTAGCAAAGAGTTGTCTGAGAGGGATGGAGGAATCTTGGTAGCTGGTGGTACCCATGGAGTAGGGGCAGGTCCTTGGTCCTGGATGGGACAGGCTTGTCCAGTCAGATCAAAGAAGCGTCTGTGATGTGCAGGTGTATACCAGCAGCCATGTCTGTATTTAATGTAGGGTCATCTGCATTGGTGGTTTGATAGATGGGAAAACGTAAAGATTTGAATCTTTGATATGTGGATCGATTCCTGAAGATATCCTTGAGGAAAAGATGTTCCCAGACCCTGGTTCCCATCTCAGCCACCACGTGATGGAGTCCTGCAGTCTGATCTTGTCTCTACCTTCCCTTGGGGACCTTTCTTGCTGCTGTCCCATTTCCATGTGCTAATTTGACCCAGAGGCTGTGCAGATGGGCTGGGATCTCTCTGCCTTTCCTGCTAGTCCTCCTCTGCATGGTGGTCAGTGCCCTTGTTTCTGGAGGTTGGGGTGTGTTAGAGTTGCCTTCTAAGTTAAGCAGGGCCCATTCCACCCGTGTGGACCAACGTCCCACCAGTGACCACGCTGAGCTCTAGGCATGACTTCCCTCAGATCCTGGCCCCAAACCGCCCTGGCCATGTCTATCTGAGGACCTTGCTCTTCTTGTTGTTCTGCCTTTGGCATGGTGCTCACTTATCATGTTTTTCCTTGTGACTAACTCCTCTGTGCTATCTCATCTGGCTGGGATCCACCAATGTGTTTCACCCTCTCCCAAAACCAGCGATTGGATCTCCCACTTTTGGTTGGTAAGAGAAATTAAAAAACATTGGATTTAGGCCTCTGCTTCTCAGGGATCCTTTTGAGAAGGCATAGGGACCTTGCATTTCAGAGGCACCCCAGGTAAGGGACCAATGCGACACAATGTGGGCTCTGCAGCATGGCCCCATTTCTTTCTCACAGGTTCATCTTTAGGAGAGGGTGCAGACTGCACTGAACTGGCTTGCACAGCACCCTGGTGCCTTTTCTCCCCTCTTGCCTTTGAAAGAGACCGTCCTTGTGCTGTGACATCTAGAGAAGGGAGGCCATGGCAGGGAAGCAGCCAGAATAGCATCAGCGTGATGCAGAGCCCGCTGATGTCAGCAGTTCTTCCAGGGGCTCCTCGGTGTGCTGGGTCAGCCTCTCGCTGAGAGAAGCTCCGTTTAAAAGGGCACGAGGATGAAATAGGAGGTGACGAACATCAGCGGGCACAGTGTCCAGATGTCTCTTGACCTGAGAGCCTTTGATGGCCTTGGAGCATGAAAACTGACCTCTTTGGCTCCAAAATATTTGAGGTCCTTATAAAGCACTAGTGCCACCTTTGGCTTAAAAACAAGGACAGTTTTCTCACCCTTCTGTTGCCATCTGAGGAGGCCAAATGCGAAACCATAGAAACTTTGAGTATCAGGTGGGCACTGGGAGAGCTCAGCCCTGCTTGGGTCTCAAATGTGGTGACTTGACAGCTCCATTGAGAGCTCCAAAGAGCAGCCTCCAAGTCGCTCCTTTTTGCCCTCCAAGTGGACAGCACTGAGTGGTGCACCCTGAGCCTCTGTTGTCAGAGCTTCTTCTGCAGAACTCGTGTCACCCCACAGAGCTCATCTCTGTGTGGCCTTGGTTTGATATTCCAGATTGCAGCCAGAAACTCCGAGTATCCGAGTAGCTGCTGCTGTAATACCTGCATTGCTGATGGAGGAAGGAGCCTGGCTGTGGAGCATGGGGCTGCTGGAGCCCATGATTAGTGGGGTCTTGTGTAGGTAGGAAGGGCATGACACAACTGCTGCATCTGGCATCCTTGGTCCCTCCCACTGGTGTTTTCCTATGGTTCAAATCCATCAGGATGTGCTGTAAAGTGGGGACAGCCCAAAGGGAAGGGAACCTCCTAGTGCTTCCCTGGTCTCTGGGGAAGAGGGAAGTGGGGAAGTCGGTACTGCCTGTGGTGCCCCTTCCTCACCTCCCCTGTCTGTCCTCCCTTCCCCCTGCTTGCTGAGGGTTTGAGACATCAAGCAGGATTTCTGATGCAGTCTCTGGGCAGGGAGCCAGCCCATCACAGAGCACTTGTTTAGGATGTGCAATCAGGCTTTCAAGGCGAGGAGACAGGAGACTGCTGGAATGGGACCGGGAACCTGGCAGAAGCATCACTGCAGATGGAGGGGGGGCACTTGCGCCTGAGGAGCTCTTGCCAACACATGTGGGAGCATTTTGGGTGAGGGGGGTCTGACGCCGGGGTGCTCCATCCATCCCAACTGCAGATGTTGATCAGCAACCCCAAAGCAATGTTTTCCCCCTGTGTTTGCTATCTGTGATGGAATCTATCGATTCTCATTGTCATCCCTCCCAGCAAATGCCAAACAGCCAGAGGAGCATGTTCACGAGTTGTTGCTGAAAAGATGGAAGGAATCAGATATCTGTGCCCACTGTACAAAATCCCTCTGCCAGAATGTGCTTTCAGGAAGACTCTGTCAGCACTGCCAGCCCTGGCTGTTGAAGAGTCAGGAAGGAAGTCTGCACCCCTCAGCCAAACCGAGGAAATCAGGAAACCCCCACTTTTAGAGTTCATTTTATTTGAATGAATGACTCAAATGGGAACTTTCAGGACCTTTCAAGCTTTTCTCTGCAATCACAAGGTTTTCATGAAAACGGAGGTGCTCAGGAAATCATTTGAACCTTGCAATTGGTCTTTCAAGGGGAAAACAGGTGTAAAGCTTGCACTAAAATTCCCAACCTGCTTCAGAACCAGACAGAAACTCCACCGAGCCCTGGGGGAAGCAGTGCCTCAGTTTCTGGTTCTGATCCCTCTGGTGAGGATGTGGATCCAAATTTAGTGATTCATTGACTGTAAAGCCGGTAAAGAACATTTGGATCATCGATCTAACCCACGGCAAAACACAGGCTGGAGCACATCCCTTAATTTATTCCTGTTCAATTTGTTATGGGGAAAAACCCAAACACTCAATCTGATGTACAATTACAAGTGAGGGTGAACTTGTCAGAACCGTTTCTATATTACTGCAGTGGTAGGGATGCTCACAAGCGCCTTCCTTTCAGTTTGACTCTTCCCTTCATTGCATCTGCATACCCTCGCCTCTCCAGCTGAAGAGCTCTTTTAGCCAACATCTCTTCTGCCTTTCAATATTTTGGATAGTGCTCAAGTCATTTCTTCACCTCCTATTTATTAAGCTGAACAGATTGATCTCGTTAGAATGATGATCTTTCCACGTCCAGGCTACCTTCTTGCTCTGATGGAATATGGTCATCCATCCAAAGTGGTCATTCCAGTGAAGTCCACCTATTGTGTTTAGAGCCAAATAACTACCTCATTTAGTTATCTGCACTCCAGCTTTGTGCCTTTGCTGGCAGAAGGTATCTGCTCAGTTAACCCTCCATATAAAATACATATTCATGCTCAGTTTGAAATACCAGCCATTAACTGATTCTGCTTTGCTCACAGCTTTCTGAAATAGGCATTTAGATTAGGAGAAAAGAAAACTCCAGTCACCCCTTTGCCTGTTGTCTCAGTGACACAGGTCCTGGTCCTCCACCGTCACCAGCTGGCTCTGCATCCCTCTTCCAAGGAGCGGGTTGGCTCTTTGGGGCTGTCACTAAGCATTTATTGCCATCAGTTAAAGCAGTGCTGTAGGGTATGGACACAGCACCATGAGCAAATGACATGGGAGGAGGAATGAAGGGGAGCCCAGGGTCACTTCTCCTCTCCTGAAGGTCAGTGAGGAGGCAGTTCTTGCTCTCTTCAGCCTTCTCCCTGAATACTGACCCAGTTTTAGTCTGCCTGGGAACCAAGCCATGATATTCTGAGGCATAGTCCCCTGCAGACTTTATCCAAAGCCATATATGTATTCATGTTTAAATATGTATTTATAAATACATATGTATGTCCAGGACTCTGCAGTCCCATCCCAGAAGCTTCCAAGCAAGACCAGATTGGCAGGAAAGGAAGGAAAGACAGCAAGGAATGCCTTCTCCAGGCCCCTTGAGCCCCTGCTGACCCTGATTTAACAATACAGAGGTGCTTCAGGTATTGTCACTGGAGGCCATGCGGTGAAAACACAGATAGTAAAGCCCATTGCTGCTAAAGGTCACTGACTAAATTAAGTGCCCAGGCAGCACAGACAAGTTCATCCTGTTGAGCCTCAGGGCTCAGCCCAGACCATGGGAGTTGCACGGTGGATGAATCAGTCTGTACACAGCAGAGCTCGCTAAGCCAAGAGCCCCAGAGGTGCTTTGGGGCCAGATGTGTCTGTTTGCTCCCCTTTAATTTAGTCCCTGTGAGACTCAGGATTTCCTGAGCTATGTAGGGCAGACGATGCTTCGGCAGGGAAGGGGAGCCGGTGTCCTGTGTGAGCCATCCCTCCTTGTAAAACCCGGCCCAAGGAGGAGGTCTGGCCCCTGTCCAGTGTCCACTGAGACCTCAGCAAGTTTGCAGCACATCCGCCCAGTTTAAATGTGAAGTAACCCAGTATGACTGAACCATGGCCAGGCAGAGGGAAGGACACAGATGCCCACTCTCTGCATCCAGTATCTAGACACAGGTCCAGCCTGGTGTTAAATATTCCTCTTCATCACATCAGGCTGCTAACCTGCTTCTAGTTGTCCTGCCCGGATACAGCAGTTATCTGGTCCTTTGGTGGTGCCATCCTCACCCTTCATCCCCTCAAGGCTGATGAGCTCAGGCATCTCTGAACAGCAAGTGATGCTCAGCTCCCCCGGCTTCCCTGCCCCCCTTCCCTCTCCTTCCTTGCCTGCTTCCTCTATAGCAAGTATATACTGTTCACTGCAGGGCAGGCTTGTGAGTCTGCAGTGTC